CAAACAAATTATGCAACAAAAAGTGATATCAAAACAAGAGTTGCTAGAATAATAATATATGCACTTAAAGCATAAAATATATAAACAGGTTTTTATTAAATATGGAATTGACTGGTAGCAGGCCAGCCTCGATTACGGGTTCAATTATTTTGTTGGACAATTCGATCGAGCGAATCGCTATCATTTCATCATCCTTAATATATATGTAATATTTGTCGCTGGATATAAGACAAACATCAGTATCATCATCATCATAAGTATTATAGCTTGAGGCTAAATCTTCGTCGTATTTATTATAGCTTGTAAGTTTTATAGCTTGAGGCTAAATTCTTATCTAATATTTTAGCCAATTTATGTCGAGAACTTATTTTATGCATGCATCTCTTTGCTACATAATTTTTATAAATGTCCAAGTTAAAGCCAATAGAGATCATAGAAGTATCAAATGATCATGTCTACTCATAATTAAAACAGTAAGAAAGGGATTGACTCGTCCGACTAAAACGAAGCACAAAAACAGCAAATACTAGTATTTCAAAATAAACTCCATGTACCGATCAACTGAACACTATCTTAAAAACAACTACAACTAGTAAATACAGAATAATTATCCAGTCTAGAATATTAATCAATTATTTCGTACTGTTACACCACTGTCCCAGGAAAGTGGGCCCGTTAACTCCGCCACATTATGTATGGCGGTGACTGTTCCAAGTAATTAAGGAGCCTGTAATTCAGTGGTTATCATTTGCTTCTGTGCTTTCGTTCATTTTTTCTGTACATTAATTAGGCCGTTAGTTTTATAGTTTTTGTTGTTTTACATTTGTCATTTTGTGGCCTCTTATAGCTGACTATTCGGTATGGGCTTTGCTCATTGTTGAAGGTCGTACGGTGGCCTATAGTTGTTTATTTCTGTGTCATTTGGTCTCTTGTGAAGAGTTGTCTCATTGGTTATCATACTACATCTTCTTTTTTGTACATATCACAAATTAGGTAAAAAAGTACATAAACACTCTAGAAAGGCAAGATCTTGTGTCATGTCAAAAGCACAGAGTGTCTGTAGGACCATTAGTGTTCATAACTGTATAGCAGATTATATGTAGTTTCTATAAAATGTAGTGATAATTTATCAGTAAAGGATCCATGATTATTTGTTAGTGGGATTATATATAACTAAATAAATGAATATTTATATTAAAAGAAACATCAGAAACAAGAATATGTGTCCATTAGATTACACGCCAGTATCACATTTCCGTGTTAAGTGAGCTCAAAATCCAGGAAAAAATCCGATTCAGTATGTAGTCTTAAACGTTTAAATTTCGTGCGAGATGTCTAATGTTCAAACATTGTTGTTTTTAAAACGTATTTATCAAAGTCAAAACGACAAGCATTTAATTTTATTTTTGGTGCTATACAATTTGTGATTATGGCCGGATCCAAGATATTTGAAAGAGGGCGTAGTTCCCGATAATTGAATTTATACTGCCGAGCGAAGCAACGCGAAAAAATATTGGACAATTTTATACTAAACATTTGTAAAGATAACGTGGAAAATGTGAGATGTTCAAAATTACTTGGCGATCGAAAAGGGGGGGGGGGAGTACGCCCTCTACCCCTGTATCTGCGAATGCACGTTTAGGTATACATGATCAAAACCTCGTCCCATGCATTATTATAGTTAAAGACTAAAAAGTACTTTTTGATAAATGCATCAATGATATGAATTTCTGCCCACTTCAAATTATCTTTAAATAAATTAAAGAAAAATATTTTTTTTTGAAGTTAGTCGCGTACACCTTTTACATTCAGGTGTGTTGGAATCCACTTTTTAAACGTTAAAACTTATAAAAACAAAAAAAGAGACAACCTTCTCGCTTCGGATTTCATTATTTTAATATTTTCATGCTAAATGTTTACTTGGTAGTTTTTAAAATTCATATGTTGAGAAGTACTGAAATATGGGTCAAGTGAAATGACAAGAAATGATGGGTGTATTTGATTACAAGTTGCTAGCTTACTTATTCCATTAAAATATTTTTGTCAATAAAATCATTAAAAATTTGATAACAAAATACTGAAAGATTAAAAAAAGTAGTTAGGGTTGATTTTTACATTAAGTCTATATCAGCAAACAATTCGTGTTCAAAGAGCAAAAAATGCATGCAGTGTATGCTCCCCTCCGTCATGCTTCGTTGCAATAGGACGATATACGTTGAGTTAGGTCGGTTATGTCGAGTAAAGTCATTTTATTGGAAATCTCTACTAGAACGAATATGTATCAAAACAAAACGTTTAGAACATTCAACATAACAATCACATTTGAGACAGGACGCATTTACTATCTGACTTACTTAAAGGAAGAATAGACACAACATAGAGGAAATGTGAAAGAACGTAAAGGTGGTTGATCATAAGGTTTAGAGGTATTCACAAAATATACAGTAGTTACAGCATAATGTAATGCATATTGCACACAACAAAGAATAGCAATGACATATTATACAATTGTTCGACAAAACAAATAATTAGTTTGACATAACACAGAGATGCAGTGTCAGGAAACAAAGGCACTTACACATAACATAAAGAAGAAATGATAAGACGTAAAGACAAAGCGACAAAACACATTAAATACTTACACTATAAGACAGTTACGGCGTTCCATAGTTTGCCATATCAATGGTACTATTCCAGTTTCATATGATCTTCTATATATCATTGTTAGGATTGGTGTTACTTGTAATGTCATCTCTTTTAGTACTCTAGGTGTTAAGTTGTCTGGGCTTACTGCTTTATGTGGGTTTAGTGTTAATAGTAGCTTTTTATTCCATTTTCTGTGATGATTATATCTGTAGCTGTTTCAAAGTTCCCAGTCATTTTTGCATCTCTGTTTGTACTCCGAGCTGGAAAATTCATCTTTACTGGAAAATACATCTTTGAACTGCTGATTTAATATTTTGGCTTTTTCAAATGAATCTTCGTAAAGTAGGCCATCTGATTTTCATCGTTTTCACTGCTTATTGTGACTATATATCTCCAGTTTGCCTTGCGTATTAATTTTTGTGCTTCACGTTTGAGTTCTTTATACTTTGAGTTGTCATTTGCGTTATTTGATTTCTTCTTCCTTTTGTATGCTCTGTCTTTCTTCCTTATAAGTCGACGGATATCTGTAGTAATCCATGGGCAACCATTTTTAGTGCGAGCTGTTTTGTGTGGAATATTTCTTTTTAAGCTGTTTTCAGTTGTTTTACAGAAGAGTTCCCAAATGAATTCCGCGCTGGCATTTTCCTTAAATAAGAATGCAATCTTAGCTTGTATATTTTCTACATTTTCCCATTTTGCCTTTTTGTAGAGTAGGATCTCTCTTGGTGTTTGGTGGATCTTTGCTGCTATCTTATTGGCCTCTGTATATGCAATGTCATGATCAGATATTTCTGGTATATTCTCAGTTCTCCTAAAGCTTTCTGGATAGTTTGAAAGTATAATGTCTAAGATGTTTGTTCCTCTTGTTGGTTCTTCAACTAGTTGTGCTAGGCCATGATCGTCTAGTGTATCAGTGAATTTAAGGTGAATATTCACATGTTGGGTGTTCGGCTTCAGCGGTTTTGTTTTCCAGTCCCAGCCAGGTAAGTTGAAATCTCCTGCTGCTATAATAAATGAGTTTTTTTTTATATTGGTAGTTCCATCTATTCTGCGTTCAAATTGCATGTATCCTTCCTCAGATGTTTTAGGATTGTAATATGATGTTAGGTAGATTGCTTTGTGACCAACAAGTTCCAGTTTACACCATACTATTTCGCAATCAGTGTGTAATTCTGGTACGGGTGAACTGATGAGATTATCCCGCATTGCAATAAGAACGCCTCTACCATTCAAATTTCTGTCATTTCTAAAGATTTTTATAACCTTGAGGAAATATTTGGTTGTCTTTGATGCTGGAGTCCAACCAAGTTTCTATTCCAAAGATGATATCAGGTTTTGTACTGTCTAGCAGGTTGTGCAATTGGCCTTGTTTGGTTTTGATTGATTGAAAGTGGACATTAAGCATCCGTACGGTTTTTTGTTCTTTTGAATTATGCTTTTTGGAGTTATCTTGTGTTGATTAATGTACTGGTTTTAAATCTCTAGATGGAACCGGGCTATCAAATGTTCTATTTGAGAGTACACTGAAGTGGTTTGACGTACTGAAGACGAGTGAGAAACAGAAAATAGAATAATTTGGGCATCCGCACATAATGCAGTCCCAGGCAATAGCAGAATTATTGACATGTTCTATGCAGTATTTTGTATCTAACGACTGACAATGGGCATGATACCACTTTTATAGGTGTCGTAGACTATCCCTAGGTCATCCCAATTAACAGATTTGTCACATGTACCACATGGGTATATAGAGGTGTTTGTTGTTGAGACACTGGGACCAGGGTTCAGTTCAATGTCATTTGGGACTGACAGTAGAATCATGGACAGGTACAATAGAAGACTAGATCTTTGTTGTCAAGTTTTATGTCCACTGCATATAGTAGTTGTTTCAAAAGCAGACGTTCCTCATTTCGTTTGGAATCAGTTAAGACTGGACGAAAATTGTTTCCAATTGATAAAAAAATAGAAATATAATAATGAGTGACATCGCTGGGCAGTTTAAGCAGGTCTGATAAGATTAACTCACCAAAACACCTAACTTAACTCCCAGATTGATATCACACTGATTGTATCTGACGTCATGAAATGATTACGTGACATTATATTTTGTAAACAGCAGAACCAACAGGACACGTGTCGGAACTTCCCAAATCATCTGCAGTCCATCTGAATTATGAAAATTAGGCAATAATGTGTTCTCCTTTTTTTGTTGGAACTTCAGAATAAAGAAATGTGACCAGAAAGAAGAGGATATAACAAAATTAGAATATAATTTAATGGGGTGCTACATTGTAAATGTAAAGTACTAGTACAACATGTATACTAGAGACAACATCAAATTGTTTCCCCCTGACTATATCAAATCATTAATGTGACAAGTAGATTTAGAAGTGTCATAATAATATGTAGGATTAAAATTGTACAATCTGACGTCATATTATATTAAAGATTATGGTTCCAAATCTTCTTCTTCTTTAAAAATATACAATATACATGTACCATCAGGCAGGCTTATGATTAGTACGAAAATCGTACTCGAAAGTTTATGATCGCAAGGCCTGGTGTCTTTGATGAATGTTTTTTACAATGTAATCATTTTGTAGATCCATACAAATACAAAAACAAATGTAACTTCTCCAAATCTTGAACATTTATATAAACAAACATTGAATAAATTACACTATCATGGTTAGCCATTAACAGCTGCTCAAATTGACTTAGACGAGTAAAAATTCAAAGTTATAAAATACAGAATCTATTCTTCATTAATTCTCTTTAAAAAAAATAAATCATTATATTAATAACCCCTGACAATATTGACAAACGTGCATATTTTTAGTATTTTCCTATCTAAATATAGACATTTAACAAGATAATGACCCATTAGAGTAAGAATCAGTTGTAGAAACATTCTATGATGAACCATTCAGATTAGACCTGATTATTTAAGGAAAACTATCAGATACACAGTATTTTTTAGGAAGGGTTTATGTTGGTAAAAATATACCAGAGTTGCATCAGTATCTATCCCAGATAAAGTACATGCACATTTGAAAATTGTTTTATTCCCATTGTTTTCATTGGAAAGATATCATTTATGTTCCTAAATACCAATCCTGATCTGCTCTGTTATAAGATGGCATGGCAGCTGACTCTAGGGAACATTTTGACAGAAAAAAAGAAAGCTTATATTACATCAATTTTTGTCTGTAAATGGCAGTATAGAAATTTCATAAGCAAGTACAAAATTTCGTCAAGTTGTTGTCTCTTTCAGATAATTAATATATGATGGTCACTTGCACAAGGGCAAAACAAAAACAAAATTAATGTCGAACCCTTCACAATGCGATTTTAGCTTTTGCTTCTTATCTAAAAATACAAGATGACCGTCAGTTTGGAAAACAGTTTTACATAGAACCATCTGTGAAAGACATAGAAATAGATAAAAAAAAAACATCTGGTTGGGGCACAACCAATACATAAACCGAGTGGAGATAACACTGTCAAACATATTAACACAAATTTAACAATTACTATCCACACTGAACTGTGACCACACTTGTTCTTTAAAAATAACTATCTCGACCGGACAGGGACCTACTACAGCTCTACTTCTATCATTCTTACAGAATTAACACGTCTAACTGAGAAAACTTGGATAGGTGATTTATTAGATTAGAATCATCAGTGTAAAAGTTAAAAAAGAATGAAGGTTTTCTACAAATACGTGTTGGACCTAGGAAAGTGGTATCACACGCTATTACTACTTTAATATTACTTTTACACTTTGATTTCCCACATTGCCTTTGTTATGAGATACGCTGTTTAAAATCACAAACAAATTCATTTTACATAATATGATTTTAATTTCTGTTCTAATCTGTAAAACCATTGATGCCATAAAGTATAAATGTGTTTAGTTGGTGTATGAACATGTATATTCTTTGTCAACTTGTAATGTCGTGTATGGATGTAGGTAATCTTCATTTTTATTTGCATTACATTCATCAAAAGACTCCTGGCTATTGTCGGATAAAGCATCGGTATATTCTAAGTCTTCCTCTTTCTGAGGGGACACAGTAGCTTCACTAATGGAATTGTTTTCAGTGGTCGAGCTGTTCAGCGACTTTTCGCTGTCGTCTTTCACACTCAAGTAAGACGGTGAATGGCAAACTGCTAAATATAAAGACGGACCGTCTTCTATTTCGTCTTCTATTTCATTATAGATACTTTCATTGGGTACCACTGGCAGTGGCATTTCAACAGCGCTTACTTCAGTCGGAGGAGAAAGCAGTTGACGAGGCGGTCTTTCTCGCTTTATGTTCTTGCAAATTAGTCTCACCGCGGCGAAACAAAATACAAGCCAACCAACTAAACCACCTGCAACCACCAGATAATAAATAAATGTTGTGTTTGCATCTGAAAGAAGAGGAAACAATTGTCTACATCATTTATGGATTCATTGACCATATATCTCGTAAAAGATAATAATTTGAAAAGTATCCATGGCAAGTAAATATGTTAGAAATTTCTTACTACGTTTATATGAAGATGTTTGTATTACAATAAAAAATTGCAAATCTGTAAACTCTTTTTCCTTGGACAAAATAAAAATAAGAAGATGTGGTCTGATTACCAAAGGGATATCTTTCCACCAGAGACCAAATGACGTAAACTATAGCAACTATAGGTCACCTTCGACAATGACCAAAACATAACGCATAGCAAGCTATAAAAAGCCATGGAAAATGTAAAACAATTCAAACGAAAAATCTTAATTGTTTTTCAATTAGAATCAATACAACATAATATATTCTACTTAATTATATATATAACAATAACCTTTATGTTTCTTTGTGTACTCTGTTTCTGTATGTCCTGTAGAGAGTGAAATTTCGGTACTGCTTTCACTTCGTTTGAATCCTCTGTATGTTGCATTTAATCCTGCAATGAAGCAAATAAAAAATAATATAATTTAGTATAAAAATACAAAAATAGGTAGAACAGTTATTTATTAGTAAAGAACTTAACTAATATAAGGTAGCAATTGAAAATTTCGGTGGTGACATATTTGTGGATCTTGGCTTGCTGATCCCAATTACTATCTTTATCATCAAGACAATATCTAAGAATATAAACATTGGGTAAAATTAATCTTTCAACGGAAATCTTATGACGCTTCTGATCAATAGAGAAAAGAGAAATGAAAGAAGATTATGACATATATCAATTTTCGAGATAAGAGTCAATAGTTTACACTATTGTCTATTTGAAGCCACAGCTTTACCAGAGGGGCATATGCGAGATAGATAAGAGGCCTCAGGCATTATTTTTTTCAAGTTTGGTCCATATTGGACCTGTGGTTTCAGAGGAGAAGATTAAAAAAAGAATTAAAATGAACTGATTTAAGCTAATAGCAATAAACAAAAACAATAATGGCAGACAGCAATCAATGACAACCACTTAACTACAGTCTTAACACATAGAAAATGTGGCGGGATTCAAGATGTTTATGAACGTTCAATCCTAACGTGGATCAGTAGTGTAACAGTAAAACATGGCTCGACACACTAGATCGCACAAAAAAGTAAAAATTACACAAAGAAAATAACACATTCAGTTTGGTGCGTCCGAAGCGCTTTTCCGATTTAACCTTCATCCGAAACGCTCAGGCCCAAAATTTGAAACTTATGGTTGCATAAATTCTTGAATACTTGATAATGCTGTATGACCAAAAGTGACGTAAAATGAATAGTCAAATCCATCTAATTAATATATATATATAATGTACATGAGGGGTAGATCCTTAGTTTCAATTTCCAAAGTTATCAACCGAGAACTTTAGAAAGGTTATTAGCATGTCAATCCAAAATCACGGACTATTTAGCTGATGATATCCTCGGGGACTAACAGCTCATCAGCAGCGATATCGACACAGTGCAACAAAAGGAAAACTAACATTTTATAAAGTTGGGAAGCACATTGATTTACTTTCTTTAAACCAAAATCTGAAAGTCAAGGATGTATGAATACTTGAATACCAGGGAAGCTTTATGACCAAATTGATCTAAAACAATAGCCAAAGCCACCTACGGTTAATTATGCCTGAGTGTGTTGGGACCTTAATTTCTTAATACATTAGCAAATGAGAATTATGTTAACAATCTTAAATTACTCTCGATTGCAGAAAAAGAAAGCTAGTTCAAAACCCATTCTCCACTGCAAAATAGACATGTTTTCCCAGACTGACGCGAGGAAAGCCATGACCTTGTGCAATGCCAAAAATAATTATCACACATTTACCACTAATTTTCCATGCAGTCGATGTTAAAAGGATGAATTGTACTCATATCATTCAGTACATGTATTGTATAGACGTCCAAGGGTTGACTTGGGTATAGATGTATGGTCATCGAATTATTATTATCATATTTTTTCAATGCATACTTTTCGTCTTGGATACATGATTTTTTATTATTTGTTATTGGATTTGCACTAGCTGTCAGTAACTGTATGTACTCTCACATCTATTCCATGTGTCTATTTTTGTTGTAGTAGATGTATTAATTACCTGCCACGTCCGATCTGTGTTTTTGTTAGTTGTTGTTTTTCTGTTTTGTATCGATCGCATGAGTTCAGCCATTTTCAACTGGTTTTTATACTTTGTTCTTATGTTGTACTGTTACACTGTTTGGCGCCAGCAAACATGTTAACCCTGCCACATTCTGTAGGTGCCTGTCCAAAGTAAGGAACCCGTAATTCAGTGGTTGTCGTTTGTTGTTGTATATAAAATTTGTTTTTCGTTCATTGTTTTGTAAATTAATCAGGCCCTTATTTTCTCGTTGAATTGTTTTGCATTTGTCATTTCGGGGCCGCCTATTATAGCTGACTATGCGGTACGGGTTTTGTTCACTGTTGAAGGCCGTGCGATGACCTATAGTTGTTAACTTCTATATATTTTTTTTTCTCTGGCGGAGAGTTGTCTCATTGGCAATCATACCACATCTTCTTATTTTTATATAACATTGTATATATGATAAATCAATTTAAAAACATTCAAAAGGTTATTTAGGAAAGACTTCACTTCGAATCCCTCTCTTTCTTGATGGAATAAGCATAGATATACATCAAGGGGGGTCAAAAGATGTCTGGTCGTAATAAGAAGAACACTCGGTTTTCCTTTGATTTGATTTTATAATTAAATGCAAAGAAAGTCTTTTTTCATATATCCATGTTGTATAGTCCGAGCAATCAATACTTAATTTGAATGATATAAAAATAAGAAGATTTGGTATGATTGCCAATGAGACAACTCTCCACCAGAGACAAAATTTAAAAAACATCCGTTGTTCGACCTGCTAGTCAAATGCGTTTTGTTAAAATATACTTTTTCACTTTTTAGGTCTTCAAAATTCAAGAGTCTATCCTAAATTGAGGTAAATTATATGGCCTTCCAAATACCGTTTCGATTCCTAACATCACTGAAGAGACATTAATTGTCGAAATCCGGATATGGTGTACTAATTTTTTAACCTTTTACTTGCGGTATACCATCTTTTCCGCAAGTTTCTTGTTTTCTGTTTGGTATTAAATTAATAGTTAAGATCCATTTTGCTACATCTGGTGATCCGTTTATTTGGCAATCGCCAATGGCAGTCAGCAGGGTGTAAGAACATCCGTTGTTCGACCTGCTAGTCAAATGCGTTTTGTTAAAATATACTTTTTCACTTTTTAGGTCTTTTGGAAAATGTTGTTCGTGCTGTATTTAGACCCCTTTACCAAGAAATTTGTTTTGCATGCACACGTATAAAAATTGCGGTTTTTATCCAACGCAATCATCGGTTTGAACGTTGTTTTCAATTTAGACTTCTTTAAATTTTTTCGTTTGGGCTTGTATTATATTTGCCTTCGGGTATATATGATCCGTTCATCCTATTTCGACTCTTCAAAATTCAAGAGTCTATCCTAAATTGAGGTAAATTATATGGCCTTCCAAATACCGTTTCGATTCCTAACATCACTGAAGAGACATTAATTGTCGAAATCCGGATATGGTGTACTAATTTTTGCACCATTTGTTTGCGGTATACCATCTTTTCCGGAAGTTTATTGTTTTCTGTTTGGTATTAAATTAATAGTTAAGATCCATTTTGTTACATCTGGTGATCCGTTTATTTGTCAATCGCCAATGGCAGTCAGCAGGGTTTAAGAACATCCGTTGTTCGACCTGCTAGTCAAATGCGTTTTGTTAAAATATACTTTTTCACTTTTTAGGTCTTTTGGAAAATGTTGTTTGTGCTGTATTTAGACCCCTTTACCAAGAAATTTGTTTTGCATGCACACGTATAAAAATTGCGGTTTTTATCCAACGCAATCATCGGTTTGAACGTTGTTTTCAATTTAGACTTCTTTAAATTTTTTCGTTTGGGCTTGTATTATATTTGCCTTCGGGTATATATGATCCGTTCATCCTATTTCGACTCTTCAAAATTCAAGAGTCTATCCTAAATTGAGGTAAATTATATGGCCTTCCAAATACCGTTTCGATTCCTAACATCACTGAAGAGACATTAATTGTCGAAATCCGGATATGGTGTACTAATTTTTGCACCATTTGTTTGCGGTATACCATCTTTTCCGGAAGTTTATTGTTTTCTGTTTGGTATTAAATTAATAGTTAAGATCCATTTTGTTACATCTGGTGATCCGTTTATTTGGCAATCGCCAATGGCAGTCAGCAGGGTTTAAGAACATCCGTTGTTCGACCTGCTAGTCAAATGCGTTTTGTTAAAATATACTTTTTCACTTTTTAGGTCTTTTGGAAAATGTTGTTTGTGCTGTATTCAGACCCCTTTACCAAGAAATTTGTTTTGCATGCACACGTATAAAAATTGCGGTTTTTATCCAACGCAATCATAGGTTTGAACGTTGTTTTCAATTTAGATTTGTTTATATTTTTTCGTTTGGGCTTGTATTATATTTGCCTTCGGGTTTATATGATCCGTTCATCCTATTTCGACTCTTCAAAATTCAAGAGTCTATCCTAAGTTGAGGTAAATTATATGGCCTTCCAAATACCGTTTCGATTCCTAACATCACTGAAGAGACATTAATTGTCGAAATCCGGATATGGTGTACTAATTTTTGCACCTTTTGTTTGCGGTATACCATCTTTTCCGCAAGTTTCTTGTTTTCTGTTTGGTATTAAATTAATAGTTAAGATCCATTTTGCTACATCTGGTGATCCGTTTATTTGGCAATCGCCAATGGCAGTCAGCAGGGTTTAAGAACATCCGTTGTTCGACCTGCTAGTCAAATGCGTTTTGTTAAAATATACTTTTTCACTTTTTAGGTCTTTTGGAAAATGTTGTTTGTGCTGTATTTAGTCCCCTCTACCAAGGAACTTGTTTTGCATGCACACGTATAAAAATTGCGGTTTTTATCCAACGCAATCATCGGTTTGAACGTTGTTTTCAATTTAGACTTGTATATATATATATATATATAATACATATTATGTCTGATAGAATTATGTCTTATGAACATCTGGATGATCGATTATAATATTTTCTGATTTTACAATTTAAGGGGTAATAAATCTGGTCTTATTGGCATGCCTTCTCCTTAGAAATTTGCAATCAAAACTATAAAATGAGCAACATGAAACCTACAGGTTTAATCCACCATGTTGTACATAAGGAAATGCATGTACCAAGTCAGAAATATGACAGTTGTTTTCCATTCGTTTGATGTGTTTGAACTTTTGACTTTGCCATTTTATAAAGGACTTTCCGTTTTGAATATTTCTTAGAGTTCGATATTTTTCTTATTTTCCTTTCTACTAAAACCACAGGTCGTCCAAAAGTGAAAATAACTCTTGTTTTACTGCCTCAAATGTTGGGCTACACAATCATGGAAAAGGTATCGGTAGGAAATAACAAAGCAAGGAAAGTGGTATATATGTTGAGTTGACTACAATCGTAACGCAAACAATGCACTTTATGAAAACCTTTCGGCTTATTCCTTCAAGAATGGTATTTACTTTCTCAACTGGCAATGCAAATACTAAAAGTCGACAGAATAAACTCATTCACCTGCTTGCAGTTTCACAAGTGTTCTGGTACAATGTTAACCTTGCTATTTAGCAGAAGTAAACCTATCAAAATGATGAGTTTTGTCTATAAAAAGATGTTGATACTAATATTTTCTATTAAAAGTTAACGAATACGGACAGCTAAAAGACCTATAAGTGCAAAGATGTTTATGCCTAGATATATGGTTATTTTGGACTGTAGCTAGCCGTCGAAGGACTTTTTTAGAAATATTTTAAAAGCTACAGAAATCCATTGCCGTAGTTGTAGAAAACAAAATAACATTATAAATTAAACATTCTGCTTGTCATACAAAGTAAAATTTTCCCCAATGAAGAATATCTGTCATAACTGAACGAACAAAAAAAGTCTACTTCGTTTTTGTTTTGTGTTTTTTGTCTATCAAAATCCGGAACTTCGGAAGGCTATCTTTGAATAAAAAATACACGTTTAAGGAATTTAAAAAAAAAAAACTTGAAATATGCAATACCTTTGAAAACAAATAAATTGATACTCTGATATTGTTCATTCAATCATTACATATATTTTAATAATGTATTTTAAGACACATAAGCTACAACTTAAACAAAAATATTGAAATTTGATTTTTGTTTGTTTAAAAGATTAATAAAAGCGGATGCTGAAATAATAACTGCGTATTATCAGTCAGTTTGGTTTAATTTTGTAAAAATAAGCGAATGGACAGTGTGGATTTTTTATTGCCTTGCAAGACGATAATTCAATCACATTTGCGTCCGTATTCACACACTCTTTAATTTAACCCTTAGTTGCAGATGGATTGTGCATGTCCTTAGCATGCTCAGTTACTAAAAAAGGGAATGTAAAAATTGAAAAGTAATTAAACGGAGCCACCAGGAAGAAGCGTTTCGTTGACTGTGTCGGCCAAACAAATTCTTTCTTAAAAGTTTAACGATGATTTACATATTTTCTTAATCTATGACATGAAATCAAATAAATCTATAGAAAAATCGTCAATATACTATTGCATGTGCGTGTCTGTCTATTTATTTTTATATTAGTATCGGGTGACATGACCATCGACAGTCTTTGGAAGTCATCTTGATGGTCATTTAGATGGCGTTTTGTCCTAAAATTCTCACGAAATGCTGACACTGTATTACGAGTCCATGCATTATTCATTGTTTCCTATGGAAATTTGGTAATTCTGGTATAGATTTTAGTATGTTATAAATCAAATTAAATAGTTTGAGCCAATTCGTAGGTAATGAATTGGCAGTGCACCTGAGAAAGGAAAAAAGATGAAAAAGACTTTTGATGACGATTTCATTGTGCACGAAATATATGTTTTTGGAATTTGCTTTTTCCAGTATGCTCGAGAACATTTTAGTTTGGAAAGTCAAAATTTAAAATAAAGCTTTAAAAAAACAAAAAAAACAACAACATTAGAGCCGAAACAGAACATCAAAGAACCGTTCAGGCTCATTCTTGCCTGTAAAGGTTGTTGTACTTTTAGTACAAATATATTATTTATGAAATGGAAAATGACATAGGAATCATTCAAAGCATATGCCAGTACCGAAGCACTTGCTACTCGGCGGGTGGAACCACCAGGGTCTGATTGCCTACCGGGCATAATCGGTACCTCCTGAGTTGTAGTAAAACATTGATAAAAAATATAAACAATAAAGACACAATAAACTAATTATAAATAAATAAATAGATTCTACCATTGTGACGAGTAAGATGCTGAGGACAGGGTTTAAGAATTTTAAAACCACAAAATTTACCGAACATTTGACATACATTTATAATTTATGTATTTGTAATTGTATTTTCGAAAAATATTAAGTGGTAACATCTGATTTGTAAAACGATATTGATGTTATCTTTCACATTTTTTTCTGTCAAAATGCAAAAAAAAATTTTTTTTTCTGCGTAATATTTTCAGGTATAGTTACCTTTTTCATCCCGTCCCAATATCAAAAACAACCGTTTTCATACCGTCACAATATCAAAAGCAAACTTGCATGTTCAGATTAGTAGACAGTTCGACGACAGTAAGGAAATTCGGACAAGGAAGAAACTGATTATGTGTTGATTATCAAACAAACAAACAAAATAGTTAAACAAGAAGGCACAAATATATAACACTTGGTAAAATTTAGCATACCATCTATGTAATCTACTAATCCAACATAAAACCATTGTTTACACAATAATTCTGGGAACTCCCAACATGAATTTCTTAATATTTAGGCTATCGAATTCAAAATGTTGGAATAGCCAGAACAAACCAATTCACTAAATCTTATTCCTTGGAATAATTAGAGCATAGTACATTCCTTTAAAGCGTTGTTAAATCTTGCACAGCAAACCATCTAAGATATGTCCATTTTAATGAAGCTAACTGAACGTCATGAAACAATTATGAAAAGGGAAGTTTAAAAGATAGAAAAGTTGCCACACAGGTCATAAGTATAGTTTTTAAGAAACCGTTGGAAAAAAAATGTGTGGTTAAGGGGAAGGGTGGAGATCTAAAAAATAAAAAAAAAAAAAAAGAAAAAAAAAAAAGGTAAAATTGCGCCAATTATTCATGCACCTGTCCTAAGTTGGGGACCTCGGTATTGGTTGTCCTTTGTCGTATCTTTTTGTTGTTTTTGTCTTATCGACGTTTACCACACATCCTATTATATTTCATATTGCAGTTTCATAAGTTAGAATCGTTCAACTTACTATGAATGTAACTGTATTCCTCTGTACTGGACATTATTACTGCTGAAGAAATGTCGATGCAGCCATACTGGCGATGACATCTGAAAAGGAGATTACTATATATCATTAAATTCTTAAATAAGTTGAAACATAGGTGTTTCTCGTTTTTTGTGTGTGTGTGTGTGCGTGTTTGGGGGGGGGGGGGGGGATGGGGAGAATTGATGCAGGCTTTAAATAGTTTGAAACAATGATATAGAAAAAAAACCCAAAATCTTTAATCTGCCTTTAAAAATAGACAACCACTGGCGAGGTTCATGACATGAGCCAGGCACTTGATTATGCAGCGGAGGTAAACTATTGTTTTTTTATAGCTCTAAATCCTTCCAACCATTTCTATCGTTTTTATATATTCAGATACTCCACAGAACACAACCAGGAAAATAAAAATTAACAACATTTGTCATGTTCTTCTCAATTCATAAAATTTTAAAAGCAAAAGCGAACTTACTTTTGTGTCAAACTGCAATTGCATTTATATTTACATATTTCTCCGTATGTATTAGGAGGACAAGGAACACACGTTATGCCATCTAACGATGTACTTCCTGGGTTACATGCTGAAATTGTATCATTGGATATATTGAATTTGTATATCACATTTTAATGTAGCAAAAAACGCAAATATTTGGAATATTTTATTTGTTTGAAATACACATTAAAAATAAAAATAATATATTTTACTTCAAATATAGATTGTTTTTATGAAATTTGAATCATTTTGCCTTTTTGTTTTCATTTTTGGGTTCATATGTGGTACATCTTTAACATTACCTTTGCAGTTTCCGTTGTCATAGTAATAGGTCAAGCAACAGTATCGAATATTCTGTTCATTAATCTTCTTCCTGTAGTTTGGAAAAATAGTTAACTATAATGAAAATTTTGTTTAACTATAATCTTCCAAGTCTTGGAAAAAATATGATTTTTGTATGCAAAGGATATCCTGCAATCGAACTAAAATAGTGCAAAAAATGGTCTAAGTTCAGACATCATACAAGGAAATATATATGTTTCATCCATCGTGTCAAGGAAAAAGAGGTATCGTGTGAAAAGGGAAATATTGCATTCAGAGGATTTTGATACTTCTACTATGGCTAAAGTATTTACAGTCAGTTAAAAGAACTGTTTCTCCTTTGTTTTGCAGGATCATACTGATTATTTCATTCTTTAACTCTACTCTCATGTAGTCAAGTATATATATTTAGTCTGAGACAGCCATTTCTAATGATCATCAACTGAAAAGTTTGAACATAAATTCATTTATTCATGTTATTTTTGGTAAATTTCCATGGTGTTCAGATATTTCATTTGCATCCAGTCCAGTACTGTTTATGTACTTTTCAGACAGTTCAGTATTTATTGTTTTGCAGAGGCAAACGTCTGCTACTGGTCGTAAACGAAGTGTTTGAAATTCCTAAAAACCGACTGAAATACTGAACATAACGTTATAGTTTGTATAGTTTTATACTTTATTTCCTAGTAAATAGGTCATTGTCGATTATGCTTCTTTTTCTCGATTTTTCCTTGTTAACGTTTATACATTTTGCTCATTGGTTACCAATACATCTTCACAAGTTGATAACATCTGATCAAGCATCTGATTTCATTCATGTAAATATTTATATTGTCTTCATATTGTATCTCTTACCAAACCAATGTTAATTCACTTCCACAATACCATGTATTATATATACTTCAATTACCTTTTCAATATGAACCTTTGATTTTATTGTTTTTTTTATAGATAATAAAGTACTACTAGTAGTAGTAAGCATATGGTCTACATAGACAAAACAGCGGGAGAGTTAATGAGCAAATTCAGGATATCAGAACAATGTGTTGTTCGTTGTTTGTTTGACGTGTTGGTGATTGGTGTGGTCTGTTGTACTGCATGTCCAATATTTTTAGTAATTCTCGTTTCACTTTTTTATGTTTTACAACTTTTGCAAATGGGGAAAATTTGACTTTTAGAGAAATAAGTGATTATTACCAGGATCAGAGGTACTTAGTTTATTGATGAATTGATTTTCATTTGCAAGTGACAATATACAGGCCGAGAAAACCCGCCATCTCGAAGAAATATAGCATAACAGACTTATATTTATATTCACTTGAGACATTTCTTTAGAAAAAATAAAACCGTTTGAAGAACACTTGGATGACTGTTATGTACTATATGCTAAAAACGGCGTTTTTAATCTGGTAAAATCATCAAAGACAAAACTAACTTTTACACGAAAATGAAAATGATAATAGCTAAAACACATAAGAATACGTAAATGAAAACAAAATGAAACTCAACCAAAACCAATCCTTGTACTTGTGAACATGTTTCATGTCATGCAAAATAAACGGCATGGCACCGTACATTCACGAGGAAGACGAAGAAGACGACATGCACATTTTAAACATGTAATTAAAAGATGATGCAATGAACAAAAGCGAGCAAAAAAAAAAAATAATTGCAGGCTATTATACATTTTATTCCATTTTCCGTATTATGGTCTCTATCAAATCGTACATATAAATTTTATAGAAATCGTTTGTTAAATATCCGGCTTCTCTCTTGTACCAATACATGTAATATCCTTATTGAGGTTGCCAAAATTTGTTTTCATACATTTGACGTTTGTTGCATAGTTACCGCGTGTGTTGACACATGTGATAAATCTGCATTGCAAAATGGGACATGTTTGGAGAAGCCACTTAATATCAATAGAGGTAGATGTAGGATAGACGTTAATGTCTTTATGAGACGGCATTTCAACCACCAGTAAACATTAGACAGATAGAAGTTTTCTATCTCTCACTGGTACAGGAGATTTTAATAACAATAACAGTCTGATAAAGTATGTAGTTTATTGTTCTTTTTTACTGATTTACTACAGGTCAGTCTCTTAAGTGAATGAGGCCTGCCTTGACGCGTTTGTTTGCAAACAATCTCCATGTCATGTTTTCCAACAATCTAAAGCTTTACTCTTGTTTAAAATGCTAAAAGAGCAGTTTTACAAACGAGTCTTTCGAGGGTTTAGGCCAAACTCCAAAACAGTGGTAACGTCATCCTTGCTACGCTATGAAAGTTTAACAAAGCAACATCACTGCTATTTTGTACCATACGTATTTACAGAATATAGCAAAAGAAAAAAATATATTCACCTAATTTTCAAAACCTTGTTTAACGGGGGAAAAAATCATATCAAAGGCTTTCTTGTTTAAAGAGATGATAGTGTCAAATAAACTGAATTGGTAGCATGTTTAACCTATCCTTCTGCAGCCATATCAAATTCAAATTCATTGTTTCTAGTGTATGTTTAAATTAAAAACACTCAGATAAACACCAATGTCGTCTTGGTACTTTTTACCTTTTTTTAAACCTGGAATAATAAGAGAATAAAATTAACATAGATAAGATTATTTATTGTTCTAATTAAGAGCCCTTGATAAGAAGCATGACATATACATACACAAAAAGATTACGCTATGATTTTGTAAGATATTTTCACATTGAACTGTTATAATAAATGTTTTATAATTATAAACCTACATATATTTTATATATATATATATATATATATATATATATATATATATATATATATATATATATATATATATATATCTTATATAAATCATGTAGATTTTATTCCTGGCAGGACCAGAACCATAAAATAAGTTACAATAATTATTATTATTAATATAATAATAACCTCATCAGATCGATTCAAAGCAGAAAACATCAAACAAAAACACAGACCGGACGTGGCAGGGTATGTATATAGCTCCCTCGCAACAAAAAAGACACTAAGTACAGATCTGAGAGTACTCGCAGTTACTAACAGCTAGTTCAAAGCCAATAACAACTAATAAAAAATAAAAAGAATCATGTATCTTAGACTAAAATGTCAATCAGTACACATCCAACATACAATGGATTTAGTGTAAAGACGTCATTAACTGTCAGGGAAAACATGACCTTGTCAAATGCCAAAATAAAGGGTATCGACAGATTTTAGAACAGTGAATGTGCATATATGTAAAACAATAATATATGGTATGGTTATAATTTACTGATGACAAAATCAAATATTTTATACCAATAAAACAATAATCAAAGATCTTATTACAGTGACCTTTTAGAATGAGTTTATTCAAAGGATTGATAAGTTTACCCCGATCGTATCTAAATTCCAGGGCTCTACATACAACATCACCGTAAGAATTAGGATGTGCTATTCCGTTTGAAATAAATTTTATACAGGTACAGCCAAATTTCCAATTCTGTGTATCTATGGAAGAATGTAGTGAAGGTTTTACATAATTTGTGGTAACGAAATCACTGACTTAATAATTTACCAGTAATACATAGATTACGCTCATTGAAATCCAAAACGTCACTACAGACACGGACATAGCAAACCAGTTGGAGAAAATCGTCACTTTTGTCGTAATTTTTTGTGTAGAGATTCTCGTATAAAACTGAAATATCTAAATCAAGGAATGGACAGTTATTACTGTTAATATTTGATTTATTCGAAGTAAGTTCCTTTGGGTAGATTTTGGCAATATATTTAGAGAATTATTGATTATTTAACGAAAAAAAATCATCAAGATAACGATAAGTGTTGCTGAATTTATCAATTAAATTAAATTTATACGGGTTTTTATTTAGAATGGTCATTAACTATGATTCATAACAGTACAGGAACAAGGAAGCTATCGAAGGGGTACAATTGGTTGGCATAGGAATACTTACAACCGGTCGATAAACTTTATTGCCGAAATGACATTAATATTGCCAAGGAGAAAAATTTACACCTTTAATCATCTCATCACACATCCAGTAAGTATATCTAGCATATTTACTTTTCTCATTACAGAAAAAGGTTTTATATGAGTTGCAGCAAATAAATTGCCAATCTGATTTTTTAAACGACCATTTAATTAGATAGGAAAACTTTATTTTGATAGGATTGTATGGAAGTGTAGTATAAAGTGTGGAAAAGTCAAAACTGTCAACCGAACCAAAAGGACCATTAAAAGCACGTAATTTATTTAAAATATCCAAGGAATTTCCTACACTCCAAAATTTCATAATTATATTATTTAACATTTCGTCTGACATGTAGACCTTAAATATTACAATTCCCTATGATAAATTTTCATTAGTAAATAACGAAACTTCAATTGAGAGATCTGAAAAACTTATGACAAATATTGTTTATCTCTTTGAAAAATATCTCTCTATCACCATCGTATGCTGACAACTAAAAATAAAATGTTGTTCATCTTCAACCAAATTCAGAGTACATTTTCACAAAGCCTTTGATCTCTTTCTATTTATGAAGTTTTATAACTGTCTCTTTCTAGTTTAAGATCATGGACACTGATTCTCATTTTACATATGACACTTCTCAATGAAAAATTGTTTAAAGAAGGATAAATTTCTTTAGAAATTGCAAGTTTTTAGTTTGAAATAAGTATCTAATTTACTACTTTTTGTATCTGTTCTTTTAGTGTTCCAAAATCTTATCTGTAAACTTGTTTTTGTTACACATATTGTCATCATACAGTAAACCATGTTCCATATTTTTTTTATTTTAATTTTTCACCATTGATAATACAACTGAAAACAAATATAACCGGAATCTACCAAATTCTCCTAGCACAGCTAAGTTAGAGGACTTTAAAGTATACTTCATATGTCTAGAATTGGATTTAACTTTTTTTGAAGACCTGCATTGGAACTAAAAAAAAATAGCAATAACATCTGAATACACGAGGCAGTCAATTCTGTTGCCATTGATATTAACATATGGAATATGCAGAAAAGGCGAAATGGGAACACATCCGTTTGAATAAATCGTCAAAAGAAAAAATAAAAAATCGAATAGATCATTTTAAAATCATAATTTCGAAGTAAGAATTGAAATTACCGCGGCATCGGCGGATCAACGTAAAAAAAAGGAGAGTATATATACCTGCCATTATAAATCATGTACTGTGTAACAACCCTAGAAAAAGCCGACGAGGAAAGGCATTACTCGACTAACGAAAGCTTTTTTATTTTATAGCCTTGTTGGTCGAGTGGTCTGGGACGCTAGTCACAATGCAGGTGGTACTGCCACGATGTCACAGAAGCAAGAATCCCGCTGAGGGAAGAACAAAAATTTGCAAACTAAATTTTCCGATAAAAATCATTATGCTAAATTTGAGACGAATTATATATATATTATTGTGTTAGTCCTGTATAACCACGGGTTTTACGGTGGAGAATGTCTGTTGTTAAGTTGTCACATGTTTAGGCGTGTACATATACATATATGTATGTATATGTATATGTCTGTTCAAATGTTGATTATTGCCTTTAATAGGAAGAAATTGAAAGCCACAGAAAAGAAATTCCACTTTTTACCTTTTTTCCCGTTTTCTTTCTGCCATTCCAAAAAGAACACTCGCCGTGTTCCTCAAAGGTACTATATAAGTTGTTTTCCCCTCCAACTTATGATACATAGAACTACATTAACTGAGAGATATTCTTACCAGCAAACGTTTGGTCCAGTGAATTCTTTTCCATGACTATTACAGCAAAGTAGGATGCACATTTGAATTTTGAAATGAAGGTATAAAGCATAACCATAGCGATCCATGTTAGACATTTTCTATTTCAATGCATATGCAGATTGGCATCAAAGTACAATACAGATATAACTATTCATACTGCGTATGTTTTATTTAAAGGAAGAGACTCTTAAAATGAATGGTCGATTAAAAAAAACCAACAAAGCACCGGAAATATTGCATAATCAATCAATATGTTATTCATTTTCAATTGTTTTGTTTCATATAAATTAATTTATAATTTTCAGTTTTATAAATTTAAAGCTCGGTGTGCCTTTCTTTTTCAGCAACAACCTCTGCTGATGAATGTTTAATTAATTGCTAAACAATTGGCAATGACAAAAGTCACTAGTTACAACCATTCTACAAAAGCAACCAATTTCGCACTACCAAATTCGAGAATATCTGGTAATTTTGTGCCCTATGTCCAAAATCTCCAACACAATAAAGACAAATTAGATTACGATCATTTCTTTATATTGTGTCTGTATTATGAGAACTTTTGGAATAAAATACATGAAGTTTTAAAGAGGAGTATATTTTTAAGATAGCACCAAACTTTACTTTTTGGATATAAAATTTCTGACGAAGAATATTTATGTTTAACTTTTTACTTTGAAGCAATTGTAAGTTTTCAAATTTACAAAGCGTCAAAAAAAATTTCATGTATGTTCAATTTTCATAAAAGAATTCAACAGAAGACTTTTCGAGGGGTAACAATCTGCTCTATTACCCTTTTAGCTATGTGTTATTTACTTTATTATACCGAATGTTCTCTGTTATTTACTGTTTGTTAAATTTCACGTCTTGTACATAAGTCATCCCTGTTTAGTAAAGCGCAAAAATGATCAAGCGTCTCCGTGAAGAGTAATAGAGTATTTGCCATGGGATAGAGTAAATTGTCTACCTCGTATTAACCAATCAGAATCCCGCATTTTGACATGAAGTATAATAATGTATAATGGAATATATATTTATTGTATTTTGAGTTTTACAACTAATTATCGCCCTTAGTTATAAGTGGCATATATCAGGAAACATTAGGAGGAGTTTAGACTCCTAAAGTATATTGTGACAAGCCAGAAATGGAAACAAAAGATTTTCTTCTAATGTTAAAAAAGAAATATAGATTAATTTTCTTAAAAGTGTTGAAATGAATTGAGTCCTTTTTTGTTTCAATGTAGCATTTACTTTACTAGGAGATTAACAGTAATGTTGAAATACAACAATGACCTTCCATAAACTGTAGTTTAAATCTCGAAACTGGCCTGATCATATGTTTATGTACGGTAAGAGGATGCATTTTCGATTATAGAAAGCGGGCTAATTGTAATAACAATAGAGTTAGTCTGGCAAAGAAGGTTAGGAAAGTTGGGACCACGTTCCACTTCAAAGGTAACCAGATACAATTTGAATTAGATTCTGACATTGTAGACAATATTTAAAGAGCAGTTGAGTTAATTGAAAGCAAAAGACCCGCCAAAGCTATTAAGCTTCTCGAAGAGTCGGTACAAATTATAAAGAAGCGTAACAAGCTGATCCGAATAGCCGACAAGTGGGAGGGTGGCTGGAATACAGTTCAGGAGTATCTCTCCGATGATGTCGCCAGTAATTCTGTCGGCAATGGCAGAAAAAAGCATGGCCTTGAAAGACCCGTAAAAGCTGTAAGAGCACCAAGTCAAAGTACAGATAACGGCGTTACTAGTGCTATTTCTACTCAACAGCCCTTTTGTAGCAGCCAGGGCCAAGCTTGTCCGAGTAGACAAGCAAAGTCCGAAGACATGTGCTATTCATATGCAAACATCGGGCAATATAGATTGCCGAGCTAAGGAAAAAATAATCTAGAAACAGTTTCAGCAAAGGAGGTGCCGCTTAAACAGTATGGACAACACAGTGACGTTTTTTCAGGTACATGATAATTTAAACATGATTAGCTCTTATTGTGATTACGAAGAGGGTTTCAAATATATTCATGTGAAAAGTAAATTATAAAAATCTCTTTATTGTCGGTAAAATATTGGAGCGTCTAACTTTATCCATGATTTTTTTCAAAATGGGTATGAAATTCAAATGAGAAATGAACCTGGTAGTATAATTTTCGAAAAATAATAAATCTGATTTCAAGCATGAAAAATTTGTAGTTTTAGCTATTGAAGATCTTGTAATTTCAGAGGCAGCTGGAAGGACCACATGTAATAAATCCGCTAACGGTATCTATCAGTTCTAAAGGTAATGAAGGTTAATGTTGGATTTATGCCATGTCAATGAGCATGTCTGTGTGTTTTGGTTTTATTTTTGATTTGAAGTCGGGCTATAATCACATAGACGCCTTCCATTCACACAAAAAATATTAAGGTTTTCATGGAAAAACAAGTTTTATGTTTTTACAAAAGTCATCAGACGGCTAGTTAAAAATTGGCGGAAAACGGGATAAAAATAGTCATGAATTTAGACGAACGGGGTTGCTGTAGCCAAAACGTCTGATATCTGTACTTTACATTCTCTAAAAGTTGAAACAGACCTAATTAATTTGGGGTTTGTTCCTAACAAAGATAAATGCAACTGGAACATATCTCAAGATATTGACTGGTTAAGTTCACTGGGATTTGAAATTTGGAAAACTCTCAGTTCCAATCAAAAAACTTTGTGATATAGTTCAACTATGCTATTTATTACAAACAGGTTCAAGAGTTAAAATCAATGTTTAACAAAATTTTGTGGTAAGACTATCTCATTGAAGCCTTCTATTGGCAATGCAACGCAGATTGTGACTAGGAATATTTTCTCAATGATCAATCAACGTGAGCATTGGGATCAATGTGTAAACATTTTAACGTTCCCAGATTGTATTGAAAAGTTGAGATTTTAGCAAGAAAACATTTTGTCGCTAAAACCTTCTGAATTATTCAAAATTTATACAGAAGTTCATGAATTTACGGATTTGAGTGACATATGTGCTGTTGGTTATGTCTCAGATTCAGCTTATGTTTTTCATAAAATGTTGTTAAATCCTGAGAAATTTAGAAGTTCAACATGGAAAGAGATAAAATCGATACACGTTTGTTTGAAATGCGTTACAGAACTTAGCATTGAACATTTTTTACACTTGTGCTTAACAAATTTTTCTTTACACGTACAGTGGATCCATCGGGCTAATTTATTAAGTAGAATAGTAGATGTAGATGACTAGGGTGTTTCCGCAGATTTTTTTAGATTTCTTAATTCGACAAATTTGCAATTGCGAACACTAAAAACGCATAAACAAAAAGATTAAGTCTTCTTTATTGGAACCCTGGTAAATCTGCTGCAGACGCTTTGAAATGTAACTGGGCTGGTGAAAATAGTTGGTTAGTACTTCCATTCTCTCTGGCATCTAATATAAATAACCATTAGTTAAATGCAGAACAACATGTACTTTGGTTGTCCCTAGATGGCATTACGCATCATTTTGGACTTCAATGTTTCATGAGAATTTATGGTACAAGGAATATGTGGAAGACGTAATAGAATTTCATGAGAAAAAAATGATTTTTGTACCTGGACATAACTTGAATTCTATGTTTGCACACGGAACGTTTTCGGTTACAATTTTCGCATTAAAACTGAATGCTATTGTTTAATTTTTATTGTAGAGAACATTCGTCACTGGACATGATGTTATTTGGTCATTGGACTATGTTTATACATCTGTATTTTGTCACTGGACTTACTTTTGTAACGTACTTGGTGACTGAACCTCTTTGATGTACCTTTTGGAGTCATTGGACCTGTCTTGTGTTTACCACTGGGTGATAGTTGGTCACTGATGGCTCAGTGACCATTAGAGGTAATTATATTTATCTATTTTAAGTTGGTTCAATGTTTTCCTTTCGATTTAAAAAAAAAAAGGTTTTATTTACAGATGATTAAGCGGATTTTGGAATGCCAATGACATTTTACAAAATTGAAAAGGTTTTTGTCTCATTTACGTTCCACAATAATTGATTCGAGAGCAAAGACTACTGTTTCCAAGTATGCTAACATGTTAAAAGATTGTTGTCCAGAACGCCAAAATATCCAGAAATCAAATTAATCAATTCTACCGGCAAGTGAACTGTACGTTACCCTTATTTACAACATCTAATGCAGACAGATTTTTTTTTAGTTCAGTTGATATACGTTTAATATATAATGAATTTGTTTAATTAAGACCAATAACCCGTCTGTCAAATCAGAATATTTAGATAATTTTTATCTTTAGCAGCAAAGCAGAGTGCTACAGGAAATGGAAAAGTGTGGTTATAGCAAAAATCTATACACCATTTTGTCCCGTAGAAATTTTGTTACTTTACTTTAAGGTAGATGACATTGTTGTATCTTTGATGAGTTTATTTGAACTCTGATATGTATATTTTTAGATCAATTATATATGTCAAGAAATGAGATAATTTTGTTATAAAAAATATGCAAAATTGTCATATACATGTACAAGAATAATTAGTAGTATTAGTAGGTGATACATATGTTTGTATTATATCTAGAGTGGGTGTATATTACAACCATCTTGTCCGTTCGTCCAAAAACTCATTTATGTCGATAGGTTGCTTATTGCTTTTGTATACCAAATATTCTATTTTTAACATTGACATTTATCATCATTTTGCATAATCTAACCAATATGATTCGTTCTGAAAGAATCACATGTTCTACTGTACATGCATACCAGGGTGCTCCCCTCAACAAACTGTAGGGGGCCTTAACAAATTAAGCAAAACATAAAAAGATCCCTACCTACACACGTATTTATTTATTTGATGTAACAACTATTCATATACACATTTAAGTCTTCCGATAACCCTATGCAACAATATATGTTATCAGCGGATGCCAATGTAATATTGTATAACTAAAGAAGAAGAAGCAGAAGAGTCCATGTAGAGAAAATGATGTCATAAACAAATTATCTATGTCACATTTGCATGAAATCCGTTTAAGCCAATATCATTAAAAATGAGAGAAAAATATCTATTATTCATATTTGTTATGGCAAACCCTATTTTTTGTTGGTTATACAGAATAACTGAATAAAATAACCATCGTCATTAGGGTATAGGC